CGCTCCCCCCAGCGCGCCTCTCCGACCAGTAAGTGCACCCCGGGCTGAGCCGGTGCGTGGTCGGCGCTGTTCGGGGGATGGAAGCTGCGGGACCCCGGGCAGCTGGACACGCACAGCCTTCAAAATGCCTTTCTCTCGAGCGCTGAACCGCCGGGCTCGGGTTTGGGCTGGAGGATGCTACGGAGCTCGGAATTAAATGAGGGGCTCCTTGGGTGGTTTGGAGTGGACGGGGAGCCGGGCGGGATCACCCTAGGGAAAGGAGGAAAGCCCACCGGCCTTCGGGCAGTGAACAGCACAGCTCACCTGACTACTGAGCGACGTGGCCGAGGAGTGTACGTTTCGTGTTTTTTGTTTTTTGTTTTTTTTTAAAGACCCTATCGTATTCAGGAACCTCAGTGTGCGACAGGTAGCTTTGGTTTTGTCTGAGCAATGGATGGATATTCTAGGCAAACTCGAGAATCAATATTTTTTTTTAGGCTGCAGTACAGTCGCTGTGTTCAAAGTGGCCTAGTGGACATCCTTTATTTTTAATTTTTTTGATTTTTAAAATTTTTTATCTTAAAGATATGGGGTGCCATTCAGGGTTAGGTATACAAGTGTTCACTGTGCAGGTACCCTTGCTGATGAGGTGTGCCCCCCGTTCCCCTGGCAGAGTCCCACTACTGCCAATCCCATCTACCTCTCCCATCTGCCCCCCCCCCCCCAATTTTCCACTACTGACAATCCTTTTCTTATAGTATGATGATCATTGTTCAAGGTCCGCTTATGAGTGAGAACATGTGATATTTAGATCTTTGTTTCTGTGATAGATCCCTCAGTATTATAGACTCTGCAGACATCCTTCTTAAGACATGTAATGTTATGTAGTTCCCTAATGCTCCACCTGAGATCTTTTGGGCTGATGCTAGGGTTTATGATGATCTTTCTGTCTTCTCAGGTCTAGTTCATCAATTGGACAAACATTTATTGAAGAGCTGGAGTTCTGTGACCACATTTTCTGAACTCTTAAGTCATGATATGTGAGATAAAGAATGTTTTGGGTGTGTACGTCAACTGTCTTACAACTGTTTATATGTATCACGTATTGTGTTGGTTGCAAATGATAATTCAAATGCATGTACTAACATTTGGAAATACCAGGATACGATTACCTTTCTTGGCAACTAAGAGCCAGATGGTGTCTTAGGCCTTGGAGTTACTGCTAGAATTAAGAGGGTCCTCCTCCCTGGAGGGACTTGGGAGAATTTTGGGGAAAGACTTGTGTCCAAACAACTATAATGCAATTTCAAATGGTAGGTACCAAGTTTTAGGGAAACAGCCTGTGTGTGTGTAATTTTTATTGTAAAATATACACAATAAAATTTACAGTTTTAATTGTTCTTTGTGTACAATCCAGGGGCATTGAATGTATGCAGATATATATTTACTTTTCTCTTGCCTTACTCCAGAATGGATTTGAGGTGGCTGACATGCACATAGTAGGTGATTAGTAAATGGAGGGATTAAGAATTAACTATGCAAGGGCTTGGAAATAGAGTAAATGAGCTGGGCATGGTGACTCACACCTGTAATCCTAGCACTTTGGGAGGCATAGGCGGGAGGATTGCCTGAGTTCAGGAGCTCCAGACCAGCCTGGGCTACTTGGTGAGACTTCACCTCTACAATAAATTTTTAAAAATGAGTCAGGCATGGTGGCGCTTGTCTGTAGTTCTGGCCACTTGGAAGGCTGAGGCGGAAGGATTGCCTGAGCCAGTCAGGTTGTTGTGGCTGTGAGCTTCAGCCTGGGCGACAGAGTGAAACTCCAACTCAAAAGAGAAAAAGAAATATGGTAAATGAGCAATCTTTGTAAAAATTAATTAAGATACAAGAGTGAAAATGTTCATATGTCAGCAGTGTCATGAATTTTTGAACAAGAAGAGACTTTAAGTGTCTGGCATAAGTCTTTTTTTTTTTTTTTTTTTTGAGTCAAAGTCTCAAAGTCTCTCAGGCAATCCTTCTGCCTCAGCCTTCCAAGTAGCTGGAACTAAAGGTACACGCCACCACGCTCAGCTAATTTTTTGATTTATTGTAGAGCCGAGGTCTCACCATGTTGCCCAGGCTGGTCCCTATCCTCTGGGCTCGGGTAATCCTCTTGCCTCTGCCCCACAAAGTGTTGGGATTATTGGTGTAAGCCACCACACCCAGCCTTCTAGCCTAACTCTTATAGATGGGGAAAAAAATAGTGCATTGTTTACTTGGCCAATCAGTGGCAGAGATAGAGACTAGGACCTAAGTCTCCCAATGACCAGGCAGCTTGCTCTAACCTACAGCATGCTGCTATAAGAACTTCAAAATAGAATCCCTATTTGAACTGAATGCAAAGCGCAATGCATGTTACATTTTTGCCCTAGAAAAACGCTTTAAATTTTACATGTATATGGTGCTAAAACAAATGTTGATCATTTTGATTTTACATTTCACATGTAAATATAAACAACAATTTTTAAAGTTATAGGAATTATTTCTGAGATTCGTTGTGCTGGGGAAAATAATGTAACACGAAAGTGAGGCCAAGACAACATAAAAACTGCTTGATAATCTGGAAAATGTGATCATTTAAACAGCAAACTAGTTTAAGCTAAAAACTACTACCCAGCTCACCATCTCTGTTCAGGAAAAAAACAGGTAATAGGACATGGATCATGTTTATCATACTGCAGCACATTTGAAAGAGTCCGAATGGAAACACATATCATGTTGACCCAGATGAGTTGTATCAGGCCTCTACTTACAGATGTATTTAGAGAATCCTAACTGTAGGTCACCTCAAGTTGTATTTTAATTTATGTTAAAAATAAAAGGAAAGTTTTTAAAAAATTTTCATTTAAGAAGTTAAAGACCTTGAAAATATATGGATTTTATGACTAGTTGTACAGGTACCTTCTTTAATAGTTCATAAATATTTTAAAGATCTTTAAGAAGCAGAAATGACCAAACATATAGAAGTAGTTTTAATTAATAATAAGTGAAAAGTGTTAGCTTCTATTTTTCTTTTTTAGTTGAAGCAAATGATACAGGAAAAATTTTAGAAAAAATAACTATCTTTTCATTTTCTATTCTGTTGAAACAGATATTCAGATGATATGGATCTTCTTTTTCCTTAAATCTCAAGTGAAATGAGACAAGAACTGTATATCCAGGTAAAGAGCCAGAAACCTTTGCCTTGTGCATGCACATTTTATTATCTTGTGTTATTTCCCTTTTGTTCTTCCTTAATATTTAGTAAAGTGTTTGAAAATCCCAGCTTGCTGCTACAATTGTATGGAGAATTGAGAGAAATTTCTTTTTTCTTTTAATTTTGTTGTTTTTCATGTTAGGGTAAAAGAAAAAGAGGCTAGGCGTGATGGCTCATGCCTGTAATTCCAGCACTTTAGGAGACTGAGGCAGAAGGATTGCATGAGGCCAAGAGTTTGAGACCAGCCTGGACACCATAGCAAGACCTGTCTTTACAAAACAATTTAGGCCCTTGCCTATAGTCCTAACTATTAGGGTACTGAGGTAGGAAAATTGCTTGAATCCTGGGGTTTGAGACTGCAGTGAGCTATGATCATGCCATGTACTCTCACTTGGGCAACAAAGGAAGACATAAAAAAATAATTAATAATAAAAATAAAAAGAGAAGAGTAAATTTCCAAGACATCAGAGTGAAGTAGTAGTAGTAATCAAAGTAAGAAAATCCCCAAGGAAAGGCAAAACTCAAGAGGACAGGGTCAGAATTACTTGGTTACCACTCTTTCCCCTATGAAATCCCTTGTACAAATTGTTCCCTTATACAATCTATAAGAATTTTTTTTTGGGGGGGGAGGTCAGAGCCTCATTCTGTCACCCAGTTAGGAGTTCAGTGGCACCATTATGGCTTACCACAGCCTCGACCTCCTGAATTCAGGCACCCTTCCACCTCAGCCTCTCAAGTAACCGAGACTACAGGTGTGCGCCACCATGCCTAGCCAAGTTTTTTTATTTTTTTTGTAGAGATAAGGTCTTGCTATGTTGCCCAGGCTGGTCTCAAACTCCTGGACTCAAGCAGTCTTCCCACCTCAGCCTCCCAACGTGCTGACTTTATGGGTATGAGCCACTGTACCCGACCAATGAGGATAGTTTTGAGAACAAGATTGTTTTTTTTGTTGTTTTTTTTGAGTTGGCGTCTCACTGTCGCCCAGACTGGAGTGCAGTGGCCGCTCCTGGCCACCGCAGCCTCGACCTGCTGGGCTCCGGTGATCCTTCCGCCTCAGCCTTCCGAGTAGCCGGAATTACAGGCATGCGCTACCATGCCCAGTTGATTTTTTGATTTATTGTAGAGATGAGGTCTCGCTGCCCAGGCGGGTCTCGAACCCGCGGGCTCGGGCAATCCACTCACCTCAGCCTCCCAAAGGCACGGGATTACAGGCTGAGCCACCGAGCCCGGCTAAGATTGTTAAAATATAGTCAAGGCTGGGCACAGTGGCTCCTGTCTGCAATCCCATCATTTTGGGAGACTGTGGGAGGAGGATTGTTTGAATCTCCAAGCTCAAGATCAGACTGGGCAAATAGCAAGACCTCATCTATACAAAAAACAAACAAACAAACAGATAGCTGGATGTGGCATGTGCCTGTAGTCCCAGCTACTCGGGAGACTGAGATAGAAGAATCACTTGAGCTCAGGAGGTTGAGACTATGGTGAGCTGTGATAATTTATTCCATAGCACTCCAACCTAGGCAACAGAGTGAGACCCTGACTCAAAAATAAAGAAAGAAAGAAAGAAAAGACATAGTCAAGAACAACGAAGAGTAGAGTCAGCTATAGTGGCTGCAGCTGACACTCTTTAGAATGTCAACTCAGTCCGCATCCACCTTACTGAGAATTCTTCCTATTCTCAGAGAAGTCTCTGCAGCCATACTGACTCTGCTTAACATAGATCTTCCAGTAAACTATGATTAGATCACTGGTTGACCATATCAAAGTTGAGACAATCAGATTTCCTCTCCAAGAGTTTGGAAACAGAACATTGGAATGCTGATCAATTGGTGGCCCTAGAGTGGCAAGGTGGTGGTGTTCTGGGGTGAGGATGGCCATTTTCTGTCGTGTGCATAAAGATGCAGGAAAAAAAACCCCCTGCTCTTTGGAAAAAGAAAAGAATTCCTTTCTGTCACTGGGACTATGGTAGTTACCAAAGCATACCTGGTCTCTGTCTTCATGGAACTTGTAGTTTAGTAAAACAGGTATAAATAATGACAAAGAAGATGAATTCATGATACTTTGAACAAAGGTCAGGAGATCCTTTTCTGAGTACCTCACACTTAAGCTAAGACCTCACTAGTGAATAAATGTTAACTGGCAAAAAAAAAAAAAAAAAAAAAGGTGTAAAGAACTTTTTAAGGAGTGTGCTAGAGTAGGAGGAGGCCGCCTTTGTAATTACTGAAAGGCCAAGGAACTACAGCAAAGAGATGGGGTAATAAGCAAGAGTTCATAGACCAAGTATATCAGTCAGGATAGACTAGGTTATGCCGAGTAACAAAATACTTCAAGAGATTCTCAGTGGTCTACAATAAGGTGTATTGCTCGTGCTACATGCCCAGCATGGCTCTGTTCTTTGCCATCTTTACTCTGGACTTGGGCAGACACAACCAGTCTCTGGAACATTGTTGTTGTCATGACAGAAAGAAAAATGGTAAATTATGCACTCATTCTTGAAGTGTGTGCTCTCATTCCTTTCTCTTTTCATCAACCAAGCCTTTGTTATGCCTGAGAGCAACAAAGGTCAGGGCTGTATAATCTCACAACAGACAGGGACACCACAATGAAGGGTACTGAATGTGGGCAAGTAGTAATCCGGTTCTACACAATGTTAAGATTTTGATGTTATTCTTAGCAGTAATGGAAAAACCATTGAATAAATTTTCCATTTTAAACCAATCACTCTGGCTATAGTAAGAACAATAGTTTGGAAATGGGCAAAAGTGGATTTGGGGAGAAAAATCTAGGGGGCTATTTGAGTTGTCCCAGCCAAAAAAAGAGAGGTTAGTGCTTTAGAGTAGAGTCATGGCACTGGAAATGGATAGGACTAGCAGCAAAGTTTAGCTGATGCTGTCTCTTCTCCCAGTGACTCCTTCTCTATCCAGTCCACTTATTTCAAAAAGATCCTGACCCCAGCAAATGTACAAATTACAAACAATAAGTGTATATTAGACCTGGTATGAGCCTTCTCATAGCACTTTGTTACATCTATTCAGGCACTTAAATTTTTTCTCTGTGGAGTCATTGTATGCAATCTTGCTCTGGAAGTAGACTTTAAGCCACTAGAAAGAGTCCCTGTGTCTTATATAGTATAGTATCTCTTATGTAGCAGGTGTGTGTGTGTGTTTGTATATGTATATGTATTACAGAGATTCTGGCTGTCAGCTAGGGACTCCCTGTCCCTCAGAAAACAGGTAAGCTTACTTTAAATGCCCAATTTCATAGCTTCTAAATTCAAGAATCTCTCTTTTTTCCCAATTCATTTTTTGGAACTCTCTGACATTATTTACCATACTTTCCTGCTTCTCCCTCACTTCTCCTACCACCTGTGTTCTTTGAGTATACCTGTATTGATATGGACCAGAAGGTCAATCCCTGTCCGGTTACCACCAAATTCACTGTCTTCAAGCATTTCATGAGTTTGTTAACGTTGAACTAGTTATTTAAGAGGAACCACACTGTAGGATGTGATGCCTTTGACCCAGATGCCGGGTCTGCCTCTTTTTCCACCCCTAATAGATTAACAAGCAAATCATCCTGCTTTCCCTGTTGCAGTTTGGTCATACTCAGGTTTTTCTGATTCTTAACTGCTTTTCCAATTAAGATTATTTGGAAATTTCTTCCATTATTTAAACTATTCTCTTGAACTTGGTACATAATCAAATGAATGCTAACTTTTTGTGTTGTATGTATTTGAAGTAATGAAAATAAAGTATGTTTTAACTACTGTATTAAGAAGTTAAATATTTTCTTCTAATCCTAAGTGTTATGTATTGAATATTTATGTCCTCCCCAGATTTATATACTGAAATCCTAGCTCCCATGTGGTGGTGTTAGAAAATGGGGCCTTTGGGAGATAATTAGGCCTTCACAGTGAAGCCATCATGGATGAGATTCGTGCTCTTACAAAGGAGACTCCAGAGACTCCTCTTGCTCTCCTTCCACCATGTGAGGATGCAGTGAGAAGTCAGCAGTCCACAGCCCAAAAGAGAGCCCTCACCAGAATCCAATCATGCGAGACCTGGATCTCAGACTTCTAGCCTCCAAAACTGAGAAATCATTTTTCATTATTTATAAACCATCTAGTCTGTGGTTTGTTACAGCAGTTCAAACTGAGACACTAAGGATCCCTTTATAGTCTTAAAAAATTGCCAAAGACCTTAAAGAGTTTTTGTTTATGTGGGCTATATCTTGTGATGTTTGTTGTGTTGTGAGTTAAAATTGAAGAATTGTTAAAACACAAGAATATACAAGCTCACCTTTCACTAGCCATCAGAGTAAGTGGCCTCATCCCCTGTCAGACAGCCTCTGAAAAACTCCACCTTACACTTGTGCAAGAATAAAAATGAAAAAGGCAAGTAACAGTATTATTATGAATATGGGCTTAACCTTGCAGACCTCCTGAAAAGGTTTCTTAGAGATCTCCAGACCACACTTTGAGAGCTGGTGTTCTAACCTATAAGACTATGTCTGAGGATTCTGGATTCATAATCTCTCTCTACATGTAAATATGGGAATGTGATCTTTATTCTTCCAGAGTTTAAGAACTATGATGCCAGGCTGGGCACAGAGGCTCATGCCTATAATCCCAGCACTTTGGGAGACTGAGGTGGGGGGATTGCTTGAGCCTAGGAGTTGGAGACCAGGCTGGGCAACATATTGAGACCTTGTCCCTACAAAAAATAAAAATAAATTTACCAGGCACGGTGGTGTGCAACTATAGTTCCAGTACTCGGGAGGCGGGAGAATCACTTGAACCCAGGAGGTTAAGGCTTCAGTGATCTGTGATCATGCCAGTGCATTCTAGCCTGGGAAACAGAGTGAGACCCTGATGGGGGAGGAGGAGGGAGAGGAGGAGAACTGATGCCAAAATACAGGCTTCTGGGCTTTTCAAGTAAAATGATGCTGTGGTGCATGAAGTTTGGCTGTCCATGTCAAAATAAAAAATGAATGTAAGTATGAAAAAAGTTTATGTGAAACATGACCATTTTACTAATACCTCCTTTAGAGGAAAGCTTTTCTGTAACTTAAAATGGCAATAATAATCAACAGATATAAAGAATATTGAGCACACCAAACATTTTAAAGCACCAGTCCCCAGCCTTTTTGGCATCAGGGACCGGTTTCCCGGAAGACAATTTTTCCAGGCATTAGATTCTCCTAAGGAGCGCACAACCTAGATCCCGCACGTGTGCAGTTCATAGTAGGGCTTGTGCTCCTATGAGAATCTAATGCCCGCAGGTGATCTGACAGCAGACGGAGCTCCGCTTGCCCACTGCTCACCTCCTTTTGTGCCGCCAGATTCGTAACAGGCCACTGACTGGTACCAGTCTGTGGCCCCGGGAGTTGGGGACCCCTGTTTTGAAGGGTTTGGTGGAGGTAGATAGACAACAGGGATTTGATTTTCTTACCATCATTTCTTCAGCATTCAGCTATCATTCAATAATGTATATCTTTAGAGTAAAGCTAAACTTTTGTAACAAAAAGGATCCAAAACACTATGGTTTAAAGACACCGAAGTGTGTTTCTCACATACAAGGACTGCACAAGATAAGCAACTTAAGTTATCAGATTGGCTCTGCTTTGTGATGCCATTCAGGAACCCCGGTTCCTTCTGTCTTATAGCTCTGCCATCCACTGGGGCATTCTTTTCAGCTGCATGGTTGAAACTGAGTAAAGGAACTCCATGATCTACTTTATGAGAAGGAGAAAAGAGCATGGAGGGTCATATGTCCAATGTTTTAAGGCCCAAGCTCAAAATGAGACATTTCTGTTCACATTCCACTGTGAAAATACAGTCACTTGGCAACAACTAGCTTCAAATGAGGCTGAGAAATGTAGTTTCTAACTGTGTAGTTACGGGTCCAGACTCAACTCTTTTTGGTGGAAGAGGGGCGGGGTGGATTTTTGATGGACAATTCACAGTATTAGTTACATAGACTTTTTAGTCAATGATTTTTGCTGTTAGTAAAGCATTCTATTTCTTAGGCTTTAAAATGCAAGCTTCAAATCTATAGTGATCAGATTCTTCAGGGCCTAGAGAAAATAAATTCATTGTGGCAGTTAAAAAAAAAAAACCATTCTTAGAACCCAGCCACTATTCTGTGAAAAATCAAATCTTCATGGAGAGGACATATGTAGGTGGTATGGTCATCAGTCTGAACCGAGCCTCACCTTCAAATCATTCCAACCCAGTCACTAGATGGGAGACTAAAGATTTATCGCCATCTTGGTAAAAGATCTTCCATCCTTAGCTCTTCCAGCCCCTATCAGTTCAGTTTGCCCTCAGTTGTTTGGAAGCATCCTGTTTGAGACCCTAGACATCATGGAAAGAGGCAAACAATCTCTGCTGTACCCTGCCCAAGCTCCCAAACCATAACATTTATGAGTATAAGTAAACAGTTGGTTGATTGGTTTGGTGGAGAGTAGGGGTGGAAGGACATACATGCAATGAATCATGACAATAAATAACTAGGACATAAATCCCAAGCTGAATATTTAAACAGGTTCTCTTCTCAAACTTGTCATTGATAGAATTTGTTTGAAAATATTCAAATGATCTAAACTGAGCAATTAAAAACAAAGTTTAGTTTTACAATTTGTTCACTCATTTGACAGTATTTATGAGTATTTACAATTTACTGGGGTTGTATTAGGACCTCATTATATAAAACTCTTCTGTTTTCCATGTAGATTTTTAATCTTCTTGGGTGAAAACAATATATATTACTTCTGTAATCTCCCAGCATCCAATAGTATATAAAGCTTATTATAAGTAGAATGTGCTTGATGAGAATCTTTTTGATTGATGATTTTAAAATGTATAATAGAAGTGTGTATATGTACCCATTCTTTAAGTTCATTCATACCGCTTCTTCAGGTGTGGCTAAAAGGACGTGTATTTTCTAATTAAAATTAAGAACTCCTAGTTATAAGTACTTATAAAATATAAAAATGATTTTAAAATGTCGCTTTATAAAGATTCTTATGAAGGGTTTCCTATTAAAGATGCTATTTTGGAAAAGAGTATTACAGTCATTTGCATATTTATTTTTATATGCTGGTAATTCACACGATCTGTGTATTGCTTTTACAGTTTAACTGTAAGCTTCTTGCCAAATGAAATTTTATTTTTAAAATAGCTTATCACCACACACATATGCAAGCAGTTTGAATGGTGTAAAATATAAGATTCACATTTCAATTGCTTTACTGTGTTGCCTATCACAACTAGAGCTCCCTAAAATGCTCCTTTATTAGAGCAAAATGTGGCTGATTCAAATAACATGCTTCAGCTGCCTTCATCATTTGAATGAGATAAGCTCTCAGCAAGATGTATTCAAGAAACTATGGTTCAAACTGTGTTATCCTGCTATAAAGCAATCTGCTAAACATTTCTGAAGCAATTTAGACAGCTGTGACTTAGTTGCAAACAATGTGGACACTTAATCTATTGACTTGAATTTGGGGCTACAGAGAAGATATTCAAGTTTTCTCGAGTTCACTTGCTACAAAGAAAGATGCTTCCTATTTTTTATGTGCTAAGAATGGAAAGCTAAGAACTATCTACTGTATTAGAACAAAGAATGGAAATGATCAGTCTTATAAATTGAGTTTGTATTAAAACTGAAGTATTATAGATATAAGATATTATACCACCTATTGTAGGTATAAACATACTTTAAGGGCTTTTGCCCAAAAGAATATGATATGATTTTAGTTCTTTTCTGGCCTATATTTCTCTTAACATAAATTCTTCATAAATATAGTGTATCTATATTATTAACATCTTTTTCCCACTATTTTCTCATGCTGATAAAATCTATATTTGAATAATTATTTAAGAAATACATGCCATGCTGACTTGGCCCACATACCAAAAATAATTTGTTTTACTGAGTCTGTTAATAAAGTATATTACATTAATCAACAGTACTGTAATCGTTGATATTGATCAAGCCATGTTTAAACTTGAAATTCACTATTTAGAACGTATTCATCAATATGTGAATAAAGACATAGGAAACTGGGCACACAGAGGTTTATCAATGTAAGGGAAGTAAATAATTTCTTTCTAACTCAGTTATTTTTAAAGATATCATTTAGACTGTGACTGTAATATGTCAAAACTCCCTATGTAGACATCACACAGGTATAACTGTACAATGTTAACATTTATTCATATTTATTTAAAATAACCAGTTGATTAGCTGGGTTTTCTCACATTTCAACCTCTTGGTTGTATTATGTCAGTATAGTAATAGAATAATAAAGCAAATAATCTCCTGTAGACTGTCGGTTATTTAACAGATTGTATGTTACCTGAATTTTTCACTTTTCAACTGTCTTTCTGAAACCATTAACCTTCAAATGCATTTTCCTCCTCCCACTAGTAGCCCCATTATGTAGGCTAACAATTTTAGTTATGGCAACTCTGAACGAATCATTTTTCATTAGCACCTGTTTTACTTGCCCTAGGTACCATGCCAAAAGTTGATCTCAATTTGAACCTTTTCCTATCACTTAAATGCTAAAATAATTTAAATTCCTTAGCTATAATGATAAACTCAACTCATTTGTTTTTCTTTGAAAGGCAAATGAAGCCAGAAGCTATGAAGACCTTTATGAAAAAACAAAGCTTACTCAAAGTGTTAAAGATTTGATTTGCTATCTCTATGAAGTTTATACAGGACCATTCAACTATTAATGGATGATTCCTGGGAAATATTTGAAGTGTGATGTCAGGATTTTCTATATGTTAATTTCCTCTACACTTGCTGTGATATTGATGTGATCTCTTTGGTGGTCATGGCTTGGAGACAAATGGTAGTTATATCTATAAGTGGCAACATATGTTTTTCAACATACCATTATTTTTTCCTCTTGCCCTTCCTTACCTTCTTCTCTACCCTATATACTTAGAAATTACCTAAAATGGGTTGGTGAAGACATAGAATAAAGGTAATATCCCACAGCTACAGTATTCACTCATTTCAGAATTTGGATTCTTTTTTCTCTCTATATATAATTTTTAATCCATAATTCCAGCATGTTTTGTACCTAACCTCATCCCAAGAAAACAACTCCAACTGTAAAAGTCCCCCTCAAAAACCCATATCTTCCTTATCAATTACAGTCTTAAAATTCTTCCTTTTGTCAACTCTATATACAGTTGTTCATGGGGAATTGGTTCCTGGACCCACCCCCAGCGTACCAAAATCCACAGATGCTCAAATCCCTTATATAAAATGGCAGTGTTTGCATATACCCTGTGTACATCCTCCTACATACTTAAAATCATCTCTAGATTACTTAGAATACCTAATACAATGTAAATACTATGTAAATAGTTGTTATACTGAACTGTTTAAGGAATAACGACAAGGGGAAAAGTCTGTACATGTTCAGAACAGATGCAACCATCCATTTTTTTCTTTCAGTCTGCTATTGGTTGAAGTCAAGGATGAGGAAACCATGGATGTGGAGGACTGACTCCACTTTTCAGTCAATCAAATTTAAGTCAGTTCTCCACTCTCAGCTTTGACAATAGAAATATTTATCTGATTTTTGCATTTAGCAATTGAATATAAGGGAAATAATTTTCAGATCTATGTATGTATTCAAATTAAATTGGATGACTTATTCAAATCTTTGTCCAGTAGTTGTCAATTTGTTTACATGTAATCCAAATTCAATGTACTTCAGTATCAGGCAAGCATGTTAGATTCCCATTTGTCTGTTTCTTTTTTTTTTTTTCAGTGCATAGGAAATTTATTGTGTCTTCATGACACTACAACGCAGACTCCTCTCCCAGAGAAGGGGCTTTCCGAGACATAGAACCGTCATTCGATGAGTTGCTTGTTTGTCATTTTCATAGGCAACTGGATTCTTCCTCTTGCATTTCTCGAATTGCTGGGTCCCCCGTGTGTAGACAAGACGAAACACTGCAAACAGCGGCGCCACGCCAAGGAAAGACACCGAGGGCGGCGCAGCACGTTGGGGATCCCCTTAGAGAAGGGCGGGAAGGCACCCTGCCGGAAGGCTGACAAGCTGGAGGCGATCACACGCGCACCCGGATGCCTCAGGTTCCCCAACTCACGGCCCTTCGCCCTACAGAGCTCATTTGTTTCTTAACTTGAATTGCCTTGCGGCTCATCTAAGACACAGAAAATGAAATATGATCAGCCAGGGAGCAGAAAAGAAAATTCTTTTCATCTTAGGCAGGCAGAGTTTTAAGATTTGCGTTCTAGTTTTAGTTCAAATTGCCCCTATAATTCTACTGTTTTCACCTGACTGTTGCACTATTTTGTATGTCTTTGTCTCACTGTATTGGCATCTGTTTAATTGAATCACAAACAGTAAAGAGCAAATAGACAAAGAGAATGAAACAACAGTAGAATTTAGAAGTTAAATAAAACACACATTCAATTTTACCTCTTTCCAGAGGAGCCTATATCAGCTCTAAGTCCTACTGCCTGAGACTGAAGTGAAAATTGTGTCTACCATTTGCCTTGGCCAGTATACTTACTGGACCGAAACATTCCTGTGAGAAAAGATTGTGTTGTGTTTGTGTGTGTGTATGCGTGTGTGCGTGTGTGTATTTGCATGGGCCAAATACATTTCTTATGTCAATAATAATAATAAAGTAAACATGCCAAGTTCTGTTCTGAATTCTTCATTTTGTCCTTCCAATAATGTTATAGAGTACTACTAGTATTTTACAAGTGAGGAAACAGGCTCAGCAGAGTTAAGTGAGCTGCCCAAGGCTTCAAAGCTGTAAGAGGTAGAACCAGAGCTCAAAATTGTCTTGGCTCCATTTGCCAACACTCTTAACACTAACAGACGCTGTGAACGCTGAAATCCATTGATTAATAGGTTAAGGCAGAACAAAATAACATTTGATCTCTAGTCTGCTCAAGTCTGTGTAACAGATAGAATGTAATATTTTATATTAAAACTACTCAAAGGAGTTAGGAGACCATTATGACTCTCTAATTTCTACCTTTTCACTTTGAGTCATATTTGTGGGCAGGAACATCATATATATGTTCTAAAGCAGTGTTGGGAACCGGGCCACACAGCAGGAAGTGAGCAGCAGGTGACCCAAGCTTCATCTGTATTTACAGCCACTATCCATCGCTCACATTACTGTCTGAGCTCCACCTTCTGTCAGATCAGCAGTGGCGTTAGATTCTCATAGGAGTGCAAACCCTATTGTGAACTGCACATGCAAGAGATCTTGGCTGCTGCTCCTTATGAGAATCTAATGCCTGATGATCTGAGGTGGAACTGAAGCAGTGTTGCTAGTACGGTCTCCTGTCACCCACTGATAGGACCATCTAGTTGCAGGAAAACAAGTTCAGGACTTCCAGTTATGAGTTGCATAATTCTTTCATAATATATTACAATGTAATAATAAAGTGCACCATAAATATAATGCACTTGAATCATCCCCAAACCACCCCTCAGACCGTGGAAAAATTGTCTTCCACAAAACTGGTTCCTGATGCCATACTGGTCCCTGATGCCAAAAAGTTTGGGGACTGCTGTTCTAAAGGACATTTAAAAGACTTATTTTCATATCCCCAGTGCACTACTTTTGAAATATACTCTCTATTACTGTGGTGTTTTCCTAATTGCTCATTTCTAAATTACATTCACAAGTCATTATTAATAATGACATATTCCTTATTCAGTTAAACATTTACATAGTGTTCTCTATGCAATTAAGTATTTGCATTAGGCATTTTGGATTACACAATGTACTCAACTCTAACACTATATGTGAAAAGATGTTTCATTTGTCTAACTTAAAACTAAGAAAATTCAGAAGTGATCTTGAAATTCTTTTTTAAAAAACATACTGTAAAAAGAAAAAAGAAAAAAGCATGATGTGAAGCCAGGCATGCCTATAATCCAGCAGCTGTTCGGAAGACTGAGGCAGGATTCCTTGAGCTATACTAGTTACCGTGAGCTAATATACCACCACTGCTCTCAGCCTGGGTGATTGAATGAGACCCCAGCTCTTTAAAAAAAATTACTGTGCATAGATTTAAGGAAAAATGTTATGTGAAGACCACCTGTTCTTTTATTATTGGCTGGCAATTTTAAATTTTAATATGGGTCACACTAGATTTAGCTTATAACAGCTGGCAAAGATAAGAGCAACTTTCTGGTATTCAAATATTCTTGCTCTGTATATCTAAATCTCTCTCTCTCTCTTTTTTTTAGAGTTGGAGTCTCACTCCGTCGCCCAGGCTGGATCAAGGTCACCCTGGTATTAACTCGCAGGGCTCTGGCGATCCTTCTGGCTCAGCCTTCCAAGTAGCTGGAACTACAGGTGCACACTACTGCACCCGGCTAATTTTTGGTTTATTATAGAGACGAGGTCCCGCCAAGTTGACCGGGCTGGTCTCGAACCCGTGGGCTCAAGCAATCCACTTGCCTCGGCCTCCCAAAGTGCTGGGATTACAGGCTGAGCCCCCAAGCCCTGCCTAAATGTCTTAATCTAATTCCAAAATACAGATTCTTACCAAGTATCTCTGGGTGTGTTGTGTCTCAGATTATAGGCAATAAATGACCACCAGTTCAAGGCAATAATTGCATATCTTCAGTCTACCAATTTAAGATTAATATGTAGAAACAAGGGAAAAGACAGCCTTAAACATTTTTTAATCACAGCATCTCCCTCAGTGATCTCATCTACTCTTTCAGCTTCCACTAACCCTTAAATTTAGAATTCTAGCCTTGACCTCTCATTATCTTCAGCCTTACGTCTTGTACAACCTACGAACTATTCTGAATATTTCCACTTGAATATTTCACCTTTACCTCAAACTCAAATTATTTAGAACCGAACACATCACCTTTCCCCTTAAACAAGTCTTCCCTTCAGGTTTCCTCATTTCTACAAAAAAAAGTATCTCCATTCTTCTAGTTATCTAAGCCCAAAATAATTATGTGAGTTTTGACTCCTGTGTCTCAACTCCCTTCCCATCTCACCCATTGTCAGTTGGCAAGTCTTATCTGCTTATTACTTTATTCATGTTTTTCACATCCACCCATGACTTTTTTCCATTGCCTCATCCCTAGTTAAAGCTCCCAATAAATCTCAAGGCTCATATCATTCTAGGCATTCTCCTGCATTGCTTATGATGTTTGAGCTATTCCTGCAAAATTGGTTGCACGGTTTTGTGCTGCTTGAATCTGCATACAGTTGATATCAAATTCTTCTCTGGGTTCTCTCCAGCATGGTTTTCTTAGCTGGTTTTCTTTTTTCCAATCTTTTGGTGCTAGCAACTACATTGGAGTGTCTAGATTCCTTCTGTTTTCTACTCACTACAAATTTTGTAACAGAGCCCACCTCTCTGGCAGTACAATCTCTGATGTGGAATTCTCTCTCAGCCTTAGGTGGCCTTTGTCTGAATTACCAGAGGAGTGAGCTGTGGTTTCAGAGATAAATCATTCTGTCTTCCCACCCACAATTTCTCACTTCCTAAACCTAACCTCAGTCTTCTCTTCCTAATCATAAGGTGAAATATCATTTCTAAGAGATTACTGACATGAGGCAGGCTCAGTGGCTCATGCCTGTAATCCCAGCACTTAGGGAAGCCAAGGCCAGAGGATTGCTTGAGCCCAGGAGTTCGAGACCAGCCTAGGCAATATAGTGACACCTCAACTCTACAAAAAAACAGAAAAAAAAAATTGCCAAGCATAATAGTTCACACCTATAGTCCCAGTTACTTGGAAGGCTGAAGTGGAAGGATCACCTGAGCCCAGGACGAGGCTGCGGTAAGCTATGATTGTGCCGTTGCACTCCAACCTGAGTGACTGAGTGAGAGCCCAACTAAAAATAACTAAATAAACAAATAGGAGAGAGAGAGAGACTACTGATATATACTAAAGTTCACAAAGGGCCCCAGCTGATCAACAAATTGATTTCATTTAGCACTCAATATGAATAGTGAAAAAACTTTAGGTGTTTAGTGATGACAATTGGCCTCCATGCCCTATCCCATTCAAAGCTTTACCAAAATGCCTGTTCCGGATTACACTTTCAACATACTGTTGCTGCACATAAAAGATGAAGCTCAAATGTGTCACATACTCATGAAAATACTTAAATAGACTTCAAATTATGTTAATTAATCTGTAATTCTGACCTTTTATCTCTCATTCAATAAAGCATACAAGAATGCAAGAGAGAGGATGATGTTATCATTGAGAGTACCTTAAATATTCCCTAAAAAAGAAAGTACTGTTAGCAAACTCTAGAAGCACATCGATTTCTAGTAAATTAGGCCAGCCATTATGGTTCATGCCTATAATCCCAGCGTTGAGGTGGGAGGACTGCTTGAGGCCAGAAGTTTGGGACCAGCTTGGGTAGCATAGAGAGAACCCCCAACCCCTCCCCCATCTCTACAAAAAGAAAAACAACAACCGAGAAGTTAACCTGGTATAGTGGCACACAACTGTAGTCCTAGCTACTAGGGAGGCTGAGTTGGGAGAATCCTTTGAGCCCAGGAGATCGAGGCTGCAATGAGCCATGATAATATACTCCAGCTTGGGTAACAAAGTGAGACCCTCTCTCTGAAAAAAAAATGAAAAGGAAGAATGAAAGAAATCAGGAGACAGGAGACATATTCTTCACAACAGATAGATACACCATTGCCCCATGATCCTGGAATTGAGAACATTGCCATTGGTTAATCTACCTCCCCTCCCTCCAAAAGTTTTACAAAAAAGGAGAGGTTAGCTTTCTTACTTGAGCTCACAGGAATGCATTTTTTAAATTCTGACTTGGAGTCTCACTCTGCTGCCCAGGCTGGAGTACAGTGGCACGCTCACAACCACCCCAGACTCGACCTGTTGGGCTAAGGCGATCCTTCCACTTCAGCCTTCCAAGTAGCCAGAACTACAGGCATGAGCCACCATGCTCAGCTAGTTTATTTATTTATTTATTGTAGAGATGAGGTCTTGCCAAGCTGCCCGGGCTGGTTTTGAATTGCTGGGCTCAGGCAATCCTCTTGCCTCTGCCTTCCAAAGTGCTGGGATTACTGGTGTGAGCCACTGCGCCCAGCAGGGATGCGTTTAAACAAAGAGGCCTTTCTCTTTTGATCAGAGACCACACTTGAAAGCCTACATGGGGTAGGTGGATTATGTATATGAGCAAAGAGCAAGGGGTAAGGTAAACAGCACTGTAAGCTTGAGGATACATGGCATCTGGCACTGAGCTCAGTGTCTGGGAGATATTGAGGAATGATGGGGACGGCCGAACAAGGTAGAGCCCTTCTATGGTTTGAATATTTGTGTCCCCTCCTCCCCAAACTCATATGTTTGAATTCTAACCCTCAAGGTCATGTTCTTAGGAAGTGGGGCATCTGGGAAGTGATTACATCATGAAGGTGGAGCCTTTATGAATGAGATTAGTGCCGTTATAGGAAGCCCAAGGGAGATCCCTCATATCTTCCACCATGCGAGGACATAGTGAGAGGGGCCTATCTATGAACCAGAAAATTTGCCCTCACCAGACACCAAACTTGCTGGTACCTTGATCTTGAACTTCCCAGCCATCAGAACTATGAGATATTAACTTCTTTTGTTTAGAAGCCTGAACAGACTAAGACAAATCTCATCTCAGAAATGCAGTTGCTACATGAGGA